ATAATAATCCAGTAGTGTGATGGCATTTGTTTGAGTGAATATACAGCTTAATTTGAAAAATAAAAATAATTCCATATTAAAAATTAGGATAGACTTTTGTTCAATATTTTTCTATATTTGTCTTAGCCAACGCGTTTTTATACGAAAATTAATCAATTTATTACATTACATAATATAATCTTTACATGATTATAAAACAATTATTGATTTGTCGAAAAATTTCCAAATAAATTCAACCTGAAATTTACAATGAGCTTCAAAGCGCACCTTATGAACGCAAACTGAAATGCTTATGAATTTAAAGTCGTGACGAACGGAAGTGAGCGCGCAGGCTTCGCGTCAGTTTATCGTTATAAATTTGTTGCTGTGATCGCAGCGCTCTGCATGCAGCTATGAATTATGTGCTGTTCTGTGGTCTCATTAACTGTTTTGTTAGGCCAAGCGATGTCGGGAACACGTCCAGTTATGCTTGTACATCGTCGTGTGTTACCATCAGGCATGGTTATTTCTTGAACTGGATAACTGGAATTTGTTCAAACATTTATCAATTTTATTTCCATATTTTTCCATTCATGGAGTCGTTCGATGTTTTTCATCGGAATGGAGGTCTGGGAGTACATAACGTTATTCATAACCTAACATTATTCATAGCCGTATTCATGTTTGAGCTCGCTGACAGATGTCCATGTGTTGTATCCCTATTATGATAAAAGTGTGCAGCATACATCAATAGCAGCGTTATCGGCTGTCGGTAAGTCGCTAATGCAGCAGCATTTGTATCACAAATATAAAATTAGTTTAGCATTGCTGCGTCATTCAGTGCAATTATTTATGTAAAACTGAATATTGAACTGGTATTAATCTTGATTTCATGCGATAATAGTTTTTAACCGACTTAACTAGGCAAATATTAATTACATTCCTTCCATGTTTTTTACACTTTCCGCTAAATTAGCATCCTAATTCGTGATTATTTTATTACGATTATCCTATACATTTACTTAATTATGGTGGGAGACACGGAGGTCAGGATGGCACTACAGGAGGTCATCGTCGTGACTTCAGGTTATCAGGTTTGCCATCAGGATGAAAAGTTTTACCCTTTGGTTATCAGGTTTACTGTCAGAATGCCAGGGTTTACCCTTAGGTTATCAGGTTTACTGTCAGGATGCCAGGTTTACCCTTAGTTTATCAGGTTTGCTGTCATGATGACAGGTTTACCCTTAGTTTATCAGGTTTACTGTCAGGATGACAGGTTTACACTTAGTTTATCAGGTTTACTGTCAGGATGACAGGTTTACCCTTTATTTTACAGGTTTGCTGTCAGGATGACAGGTTTACCCTTAGGTTATCAGGTTTACCGTCAAGTTGACAGGTTTACCCTTAGGTTATCAGGTTTACCGTCAGAATGACAGGTTTACCCTTAGGTTATCAGGTTTACCGTCATGATTACAGGTTTACCCTTAGGTTATCAGGTTTACCGTCAGGATGACAGCTTTACCCTTAGGTTATCAGGTTTACCGTCAAGTTGACAGGTTTACCCTTAGGTTATCAGGTTTACCGTCAGGATGACAGCTTTACCCTTAGGTTATCAGGTTTACCGTCAGGATGACAGCTTTACCCTTAGGTTATCAGGTTTACCGTCAAGTTGACAGGCTTACCCTTAGTTTATCAGGTTTACTGTCAGGATGTCAACATTGCCGTCAGCTAGATAATCTAATCGTGATTCACTGTCAGAATGTTAGTTTAATTATGACGGTTAAGTATAATTTAATTTATGGCTCTCAAAATATGACAAGGCTCAATTGGCGCGATGAAAGATGATAAACTGTAATATTAAGTCTTTCGCCATCAATCATGCATTTAATAAAGATAAATGAATTGGTAGTAGCTCGGAAATTCTTGATTTTGGGCTTTTTTAAAAAAACATGGGTACCCATTTAAGCAGCGAACTTGACAAAATTTTTTTAAGTATATGAAGGATTCTAACACACACATTTAACCATATAACTTTGAACAAACTAATCTAAAGAAAGTTCTTGGTAGTGAATAGCTACAATGCTCATAAATTTTGAAAACGTATTCAAAAGTTTAGTCTTTTAAAATTGACACACAAATAGAATGTTAATTTATTTTGAACTATTTAAAAGTAATTTCACTTCTTTTCTGATTCTTACTCCTCATCAATTAGTCATAGTCAGTTAATCACCATAAGATTTTTGTTCTTAATTTTGACATAGGATTGGTTTTCATCTCTTTTTTCCACAGTGCTTATAGCAGATCTAAATTTCCATTTCTTTTAAATTGCAAATAAATTGCATCAGAATTAAACCTTATTTTATTTGCCATTTGTTTTTCCGTTCAATGACATGTTAACGCCAAATTCCTTATGCAATAACTCATGCAGTCCTGTGAGATTTTGTTTGGCGTAACAGAAAAATAAGGAACTCAATTAAATATAATGGCACGACTCGTGAATATACCTTTTTAGCGCATTTTCTCATTTATGGAAGGAATACCCTATTGTGCTCGTCATGTCTGTCCGTCTGTCTGTCCATCCGTGAGTACTGCAGTGAGTACTGAGTTATAATTTTTAGTACTTATTTAGATTTAAATTAAATTTCGAGTATTCTAAGTCGATCAAAAATAAGCAAAGTTTCAATGGAAAAAAACTTCAAATGATCATTTGCTAGATCCTAAGGCTGAAGTGAAAAAAATCATCGTATTGCAGTTGCAAAAATTCATCCATCAAAGAACATTTAGCGACTGCCAGGACGGCGGCGTGAAGAACCACATAATCATGCCCGATCACATTGGTCCCTGCGCATCAATGGTAATTTGCCATTGCCTTTTCTTGTATTATGGTCATTACACTAGTATCATAATTTGAACAGGATAGCATGATCATCCGCTGCCGATATTTGAGAACACATTGATGCACTACTTTTTTTACTTTAGTTGTGTTTTGGAGAAGCAGATCGGGTGCGGCCATCGCACTTTCCACTTCCTTTGTTTGGTGAAATTGATCGAATAACATCGATCAGGAATCGATCTGTTATGATTAGAGTGACAGGCCGTCATGTCCCGGGAGACACACCAGACCAAATGCGTGTCTTGCTCGACCAAAAATTATATGAGTGCAATGGAGACGGAAATTGAGCATTTACGGCGAGCCTGGATACTGTCTGAGCATGAGATGTGCGTTGAGACTCGAGAACTTACAGCGAACTTGGATATTAGCTGTACATAAGATATAGGCGTTTCCAGCTAGGTTGGATACTCCACGCGGTTTTTTATTAAATTATAATTCTCAGCCAATGAAGTTGTTCAAAATATATTTTGTTTTGATTATTTTCGATGCAAAACATAATTAAAAGTAAATTAGAAAGATATGGGGAACCGAACGTACTGAAACTATTTATGTAACTGTCCATGTATAAAATATTCAACTTCTTGGCACTTGACTCAATATTGGTCTAGTTTTATATCATCCTCGTGCATATGTTAACAACTTGTACCTTAAAAAAGTGAAAATTTCTGTAGAATATATAATTTTGAGGCGCGCTTAGAGGAAGAAGAACCCCGACCTGAATCGATTCGATTGGTTCGATCGATTCGGAAATTGGCATTTGAAACCAAATTTTAAGGTAAAGTCGATTTTCACACGTTAGTCACAAAAAGAAATGTCTCAAATTTTCGCAGCCGGCCTGTGGCATCGAGCAATAAGATCTGCAAGCGCGCATCCATGATGGATTATTAGATCCGTCAGCCTGCAGGACTTATTTATATACTATATATAATTAGAATTTTTTATGAATTTGGTATAACTATAGGCAACCGAATTACGTATCCTGGAATTACGACGCGTCGTCAATGATAAATATTAATACCATCATAAAAAATTATAATTTTTTACTGGCCAACTCGATCCTTTTAAATAACGGTTTGCATGACTAGTAAATTCTGAAGGACCAAACGTTTACTTGTAAGTTATCATAGTTACCTTCAAAACATATGCAGGTGAAGCAACATAACTGTTAATTTATTATTCCCTAAATAATTTCATGCGGCGAGTTCCAAGTGCGTTGGACGGCAGTGAGAATGGGTCATAAAATTTCGACTCCAAGTCCGATTTAACCGATTTGTCAGCGTCGTTTCGGCGAGCTAACCTCCTATCGCGGGTGCCATAATAGAAGGTTCTAAGGAAATTGTAGCAAAGCTCAAACCCTTCATTCATTATCAATCAAGATCTGTTATAGCAGTGCTAGGCGTCAGCATCGTTATTCTCTTCATGAAGGTCTCATTACGAAGCTGTTATGACACTCAACACAAGCGCCGGCGAGGTGTTATCTCGAAGGCTCCATGTTCTTCTCAAGTCGCCGACCGAATGAATTTCTCCTTTTACGTGCATGCTCGAGACCGCAGTCGAGGTTATAGCTATCCTGTTTTTATCTGACCAACAGATCTCGAGACAGCTTGGCATCTCACAGAAGCATCAGTAGGCGCCTGATGCTTAACAGGGTAGCATCACTAAATTACAGATCTCACAGGAGCCGACTGCCCGCACGACAAGGCGCCCCATGACGCCTATTCGTAAATTCCAAATTAAAAGGTGTCGGGGGCTCTTCAACTCTTGGAAGCGACTACTGTTCACCACGCTTGAAGACGCCGTCTTCTAAGGTCCACATTTTTGTTGATTTAAGGCAAGTCAGACGCCTGATTTTGGCGTCGCTGTGATGGTCGGGAAGAAATACATGGTGTGAAGACCTTTAACTTGGTGCCTCTTCTGGTGAGAGGAAACTTGTTGAAGTTATTTTTTTAATTCATCCAATTTTAGCTAATACTCCAACAACGTAGAGCAATTTTCTTGGCAGAGATTTGTTTAGAGTTCTGACTCCTTGAAGAGTTTCAAGAAATAGTTTATGAATTTATCTTCTGCAGAAGAGGGCTAGGCAAGCTATCTTAAATTAGATAATTTGATGGGAATGAAAAACCTTACAACGAGTTTCACAAGTTTATTAGCCCTTTTTTTATAAGTATAAATAGTAAGTCATAAATCATTAACTGGTCATTTGTTTCAAAACGAGGCCTTGTCTATTTTAGGTGAGGCACGAACAAACGAAGGTCATGGCAAACTAGACTTACATTTTCATTGTTTTTATCGTGTGTAAATTTAAAGGAAGAACTAAAAAACGTTAAAAAATACCACACCAACTTTGTTATTCAGTTTTTACATGAATATTATTAGCACTAGGAAGACTCGAGAAAATTCTCCAGCAGTCTCGTGAAGAGTCTCAGAAAAAATATTACGAGTCAATCATCCAATACGTGCTAATTGCTTACAACTAATCTCACGTTAACCAAAGCAATTCTTAACTGACAAAAAAATAAAGTACCACTTGTATAGTTAATTTAGATAATTTTTATTGATTACTAATGAATTTTTACAATGGGTCAATTCTGCAGCTCGAAGATATCGGAACGAATCTGGTCAGATTCAGATGACTTCGAGTCTAAGGGACAATTCTTCACTCAAAGCAATTAGAAAAGAATAGAAATTATTTATTTAACATATTTTTCTTTCATTAGGTGTTTTGGCGAATGGTTATTACATGTCCAAGGATGCATTATCGTCTAGGAACATATTTTGCGAGGGCGAAGCAATATACTTGTGAAAATACGTGTGAGTGACGGATATGATTCAGGTGGCAGTTTTTTTTCAGATGTGAAGGCAATTATCAAAATATTTCAAAATTTCACAGATATTTGATGCTTTATTGTTTACTAACCGTACTGCATACTAAGAATGGAAGTTAAGCACAAGTTTTAACATGAATATGCTCCTTCATTTTACAAAATTAGTGAGAAGATTTATATTCAGAAAATTGCCCAGAAAATGTAACAATTTCAATTCTGAAGAAACATTGTATTTTCAAAATTTCCCCGAACTGAGGTTATAACCTAATTATTGCGCAGGGCGCGTCTCCTATTGGGGGAAGTCAGAGGACAATATCAGTAAACTTTCTCGAACGGAGGACCTAATTATTGCGTAGGATGCCTTCTCCTGTTGGGGGAAGTTAGAGGACAATATCAGTGCAGCCCTGGTACTGGTCGGCCGCCACGGGAGGGTTGGAGGGACAGGCGCAGGTACGGCCGCCGGAGGTGTTAGGCAGGCACAACATGTCGTCGGGACAGCCGCCTCTGTTCGCCTGACATGCGTTGCTTACTGTGAAAATGTCCATCATTGAGGCATTACTAATTTTAATTCACTCACGCATTGTAATTATAGTCTATATTTTGCTAATAAATGTATGAGTAATCATTTCTGTTGAATACTTTGCACTGCTCTCTCCTCAACAATAGTTATAATTATTTAACTTAATGATGTTACCAGGAAGAAAACTCAACTCGCGCATGATTGAGACACAAGACTCACCCGGCGGACAGGTCTCAGAACTCACCCGGCGGACAGGTCTCAGGACTCACCCGGCGGACAGGTCTCAGGACTCACCCGGCGGACAGGTCTCAGGACTCACCCGGCGGACAGGTCTCAGGACTCACCCGGCGGACAGGTCTCAGGACTCACCCGGCGGACAGGTCTCAGGACTCACCCGGCGGACAGGTCTCAGGACTCACCCGGCGGACAGGTCTCAGGACTCACCCGGCGGACAGGTCTCAGGACTCACCCGGCGGACAGGTC